TTAATCCTGAATAATAAACAACTATTAGATCTATAAATAATATGAGAATTATTTTATTTTTATGAAACAATTACGTAGTTACTTAGTCGATCATCTTCTAAAATTAAACTTACGTAAATTATAAAACAAATGAAAATCAATGGTAAATTATGCTCACAAGAATACAGATTCAGATTCTAACATAGGCCATAAGCCTACTTGTTATTCAGCCTCTCTGAAAAAGATAAAAAAATGAAAGATTTTCAAATAAATAAGTAAATACTTAATATAAGATTTACAAAATATTCCATTCTGTTCTATATGATTATATGCGCTAAACGATAGTACGAATTTCCGCCTCCTCCTATAGCTCCTCGTTGAGGGTTGTTGTAATCTTACCTTCTATCGAAGCTAGGGCTTCGGTGTCATCTAAAAAATTATAGCATATTAAAATATATATATTATTAGCTATCAAATATGACACGTAAATGTTTCACTGCACAACACATAAAGGATATCTATGCACTATATAACACAAATTCAATACGGAAGTGATTGAATGTGCAATTAAGTTTAGATTAGTAGTGATGTGGATGTGCAAACGATCCGATTTAATAGAAAATATAAACGCTTTTACATAAAAAAGCGTTAATCTAATCACCACATCAATGCTAACCTAAACCTGATCTCACGTTCAACCACTCCCGCATGGCATTTGAGTTACACAATGATGCATAGCTACCCCTTGTGTGTTGTGCGATGAAGAATTTACCTGTCATATTTTATAAGTAAAATCAGTTACCTGTTACGGGATCTCACTTAATATTTCAGAATTCATTGAAAAGTACGTATTTTTTCATACGCTACAACTTTGTCATTGATAATGGTATTCTATTTTCATTAGGGGCTGAGGTTACACAGCCGTCTCCGATAAGGGAGCATACAAAGGTCTAATGTGATTGCCCTATTCGTTTTTGAAATAATTAGTTGGAAAGAATATTTGCCCTGTATATAATTATTAAATAAATTTATAAAATTTAAAAATTAATTAGCTAGATCTTACTCTATTTGCATTTAATACGTATAAAATTGATTGAATAATATCGATGATGTTGCATATATTTCATAATTTTCAAATACACTATGTACAAAGCACAGTACATGTTCAGCATCTGATAATTTGATGAGAATTTATCGATTAAGTTTTATGAGTTTATATAATTACTAAAAAGTATTATCGTATTATACATATTTATTTTTAAAAGTAAATGTTATCTATATTTTTATTTCACAAAGTTGAGTACAAAGACAGGTGGTTACAATTACAGTATCTCCATTTAGAGCGCTCTGTATCTTCAACGAACAAGTAGAATGGCTCCAAGATTTCTTGGTGCCATTCTGCTTGTTACGTATACTATTAAAGGCACGTGAATGAATTGAGTAGTATAAGTAAAAATCTTGATGGGGAGAAGAATTACGCGAAAAAAATTAATTCCAAAATGTGCCGATATGGGAAATATGTCGCATAAATACCAGCAGCGGAGAGGTATAAATGTGAACGAGTATCGTAAGCGTATTCTTTAAAACTGAAAAAAACGTGTCTCACTCTGCCTGATTGTTCTTTAATTGTCAAGTTACTTTACGTTAATGGTTGCAACGCTGCAGCCTCTTACGTGAATTTAGGCGCTTAATAACATTCGTCAAGAGTCTTTATCGCCTTGTTGGAATTAGACAAATGATTAAGACATTCGAGGAGACCGGATTCTTTCAAGTTAAGGTTGGAAACGGACAGATACCTCTCGCACCTCAGATAACAGACGAAGTTGCTACTGCTATCGTGGACCTATGCAGATAGGCCAAGCAGCGAACGTAAAGTAGCGTGGCCGTTGGATGTTTCAAATTCTACTGTAAGGGAAATTGTTCGAAAACTAATCCATTATTATCGTTACACAATCAGTCGTCACCATCAATTGCTTCGAAATGTTTCCGAGAAAAGAAAACAAAATTTATTCTGACGTTTTTGGCCACAATGGAAGTGGACGATGCCTTTCTATGAAACATTTTATTCGGTTAAACATTAACAGATGATAAATGAAAACATGTTTGCATTTGTTATTCATGTATATATGTCTTTGAACTTGCATTTCGTTGTAATAATATTAAATGGGTGTTGGATTTGTATTTATTTGTTTTAATAGTGAATTCCAACTTATACATTGTTAATAACATAATTTTATATACGTGCCTATCTTGCCTCATTACTGTTGCCCCTATACCAGGGGCAACTTTAATAAAAATAATTAAAATAATTACAACTTTACAAAAAGAGAGAAGTTGCCTATCTTGCCCCATTACTGTTGCCCCTATACCAGGGGCAACTTTAATAAAAATAATTAAAATAATTACAACTTTACAAAAAGAGAGAAGTTGCCGAAGTTGCCCCTTTTTATTTCAAGGAGCCCATTTTTATTTCAATGGGACAGTCAATACTCAAAACTGCCGAATAACATCTGGGACTTTGAAGCTCCCAGATGATCTTATCCACCAGATTCACTGACGAATCACTATCTGGTGTGGTTTTATATCACATTTCATCCTTGAACTTTACTTCTTAAGAAGTTTAATCCAAAGATTCAGTAACGAGTTCCACTACAGCACAACACTATCTTCACAAATTATGCAGCTCTGTAATTCTGCAACTGCAACAATGAGGATGGCTGGATGAGGCAATCTTCATGCAAGATGAGCTCCGCCTCATATCGCAAGACCAGTGAAGAAGCTGTCGTGAGATCATTTTACTGATAATAGTGTAATTAGTCACTTTATTCCCATGGCATTGCCATCGACCACTGATTGCGGTGGTCATGCCACAACTAAAAATCTCGGGGTGCTTATACCATGAGATTTTTAGTTGTGATGTTACCTCAAAGCCGATGTCTATCGAGGAAGTGTCTCTGATCTCACCACGTGTGGAACATTTCTCCACATGTGTTACATTCTGTAATCAAGCATACTGTGTATCGCATGAATTTTCAGTCCCAAAATAACGGTAATCTCGTCCAAGCTCAATTGCAACGTCAGCTACATCTTCCAACATCGTGAATAAATATGAATAATTTTCAGGCTGTGATTATAAAACTTTAAAATTGAACTTTAGATCTCTTTATTTATTTTTAATGCTCCTCCATAAGGTGTTTTATGTTGTACAGCGACATATTTTTTTTCCTATCGGCATATTTAGAGCTTTTTTACATAATCCTTCTTCTCCCACGTCTTGAAAAATATACTAAAAATTTCGATGCCATTTCTGATTATTCGTTGAAACTTCAGAACGATCTAAATAGAAATATTTTAATTGTAACCACCTGGTATATAACCGTAATACGGTTTAAACTGCATAAGGATATTTTCAACTGCTTTTATCAACTTTGGAAAATTCTAATGTGTAAAAAAATCGAATTTACTTATTGTGACATCGTCACAATGCCATAATTTTTAATCATATTTTAATTTAAAGTATCGTAAGGATCAATTCTATACTAAATTTATCAATCGATATAGTAATGTAAATAAGATTGCTGATGTATTAGCTCTGTTGTTATAAGAAAGAAAACAAAACATTGAGAAGAGACAGGATATTTGCATTTAATTAAAATTATCTGATGTATTTAAACATTTNTTAACATAAATAAAATAATTAGTTATTTATAGTATAATAATGTTATGAACTGAATTCTTACTAGAAAAGGTCGTACAAAGAATATTTTGTTAAATTTCTATATGTATATGTTCACACAGTTATTTTTAGTCGAAAAATGCTCAGTAATACAAGACGGTACCTTCCGTATGTAGGAGGAAATTATTTAAAATTTGGATGTAAGTCAAACTAAAGTGGGTGATGCCAAAATTAATAGAATTGACTACGATAATTGGAACGAGAGGCGCCATTTTCTTTTCTTTCTTTTTTTATTTGATAAGGTGTGCAAATTGCTTAGTCTATCCGTAATAATTAAGGGTTTATTTTATTAAATTATATCACACTTCATTTAATTTAACGACGAAAAGGCTCGTACATTTTCGAAGGGATTCTGTTATATTTTTTTAAAGCAGAACTTTAAAGAGAATTTTTGTTAATTCTTATGAGAAAATGAAAATTTAAGAGTTTAATTTGTTTAAATTCTTTTCAAAATTGAAAAATTTAAACAAAATTCGTGAATAGAAACTACTTAATCTATATTAATTATATGTGAAAATGTAGAAATTTATTTTAAAAAATTAAACTGATTTCAATGAGAAAACTAAATTTTTTTTTTTTTTGTCGCTTAAAGATGAATCATTTTCGATTACATTTATTAAATTCTTAAATTTTAATTTATTTCAAAAATATTCTAGTTATGTTAACAAGAATTTTTCCATTCAATGGTCGATACTTTATAAAGTTTCTGGCCTGGTGGATGAGATAGCTGAAAAGCTAAATTTAGCGGGGGTGTTGGAACTACCAACTCCAAATATGGTTAGAAAAATTGGCTGTGCAATGATAAATAAACATACATTACGCATGCTTCTTTATTCCCGGTTTAGAAAATGAAACGTTATAGGATAATATTTATTCTTTTTAAAATGTAAATGTCCCTCCTACCTTTTGTACGATTTTTTTTATAATTAATTCGAACATTTTAAATGTGAAATTTAAATTGTTTAAACGGAATGTTCTAATATATCACTTAATAATTAAGCGAAGCCGGCGACAATTGTGACATCTGAAGCATTTGTAAAGATAACATTCCTAACACTCCGTCAGACAAGTTAAATGATTATGTTTAAGATTAGTTTTCTTTGTCTTCGTCAAGAACAATAGTAACAATGCTGTTAAGTGACAGAGGATCTCGTTAAAACTCCCGTATTATGTGACATTTAATGACTTCTTGACAGGCAATTGTGTTTGCTGTACAACCTTTTTTTTTTCTTTTAGCTTAGTTTAAAAATAAATCAAAGTTAACCAATTTTAAATTTTCTTTTAGAAGTTAGAGAGCATTTCGATATTTATGATTTCGAGGGAGAAGGAAAAATCGATGCTTTCGATGTAGGAGATTGTTTAAGATCTTTAGATTTACGTCCAACTGTAGCTGCTATTGAAAAAAATGGTGGATCGAAAAGAAAAGGTAAAAATTAATTACACTATATGAATTATCTATTAGTTTTTTTTTCATTTTATTTTATATATAATGTTCCAAACAGTGAGTTATTAATCTTGAAATCATATACGTTAATGGCTGATTGTGCTTGTTTAAAATATAAACTACAGTATAATTATTTAATACAAAAGAGCTATTTATAATAAAACTATAAACTGCGTTATGTGTTCTGAATAAGTTTTATTATTTTAACGTATTGACTAGCTTATTACATAGCTTCAGCTCAGAGATATTATTTTATAACAACAAAAATTATATAAAATTACGTTTTAGAATTTAGAAATATTTAAAATAAAATAAATTAAGAAATATCCAAAGACAAGTAAATTTTCTCTTTCCCTTAAACTGTAGATAAAAAGATAAACAAATATCGCAAAACACAAAAAAATAAATGCAAAATAACTTATTTAAAATAAAAGAAATGAATAAATTTAGAAAACTGAATTGCTTTGTATTTTTAATTTCGTCATTTAATTTAATTTTTCTAAATAAACTCATCGTATTTGATATTATGTTTATCTGTAGCCTATGATAAAAGACTTGTGTCTATGTCATATATGGTGGTTTCTACTTTTAACATGGAGAACTTCTTGATCAGTTGAACTCCCTAAAATAGAATCAGGCCTGGTCTATATATATATAAATATTTATGTCCTAGTTTGTTTTTTTAATTGTTTAAAATATTATTTAAGTATTAAAATAAATTATAAATTTACTTTAAAAATATGAAAAATATAATTAAATATTATGGCCTAATATAAAGTTAAACTCATAGAAACATACAGAAAATGTTAATATTCTTCCACTTTTTTTTAATAATAATCAAGAAGCATAATAATAAGAATGCATGTTCTTCAATTTATAAAATATTGTTCTTTTTTTTTTTAATTAAATAAATTAAAACTCATGTTATGCTATGGCTTTGAATGTCTTTACAGTTGATCCCCCCTATAACACTGTTGATAATTTCGTTTTATATGAATTCCATGTTGTACGAGTCACTTAGATTTTACAAATACGTGTGCTGGGCTGTGAACTGCTCACGTATTTGTAAAATTTAAGTGACTCGTACAACATGGAATTCATATAAAACGGAATTATCAACAGTGTTATAGGGGAATCGACTGTATATGAATTATATATATTTGATAAAATTTAAATAAAAAATTGATTTCTTTAGGAGAAAAAAAATTGTCGTTTGAAGAATTTCTTCCAATCTACAGTCAAATTAAAAAAGATAAAGATGTTGGTACATTCGAAGATTTTATGGAAGGATTGAAAGTTTATGATAAAAATGAAAACGGTACCATGCTAGCAGCCGAATTGGCCCACACTTTATTGTCTTTAGGTAATTTTTGTTATTGATAACATTAGATTATCTGATATTTAGATTAACTAACACATTTATAATAATTATTTGTATATAGGAGAAAGATTAACAGACTATGAATGCGAAGAATGTATTAAAGCTTGTGCGGGACAAGAAGATGATGACGGATACATTAAATACGAACGTAAGTTCTTTTTAATACTTTTGAAAGAAAAATGCGTATTGATAAATATTTTTAAACGAAATTCATTTCTATTGCACATTCCCCAAAAATGTTGCCAAAATTACGAAATTATAACGAATGGATCTAAAATTCTAATACGAGTATGACAAAAATTAATAAAATAAATTTATGATTTATGTTATGAAAGATAAATAATTATATAAAGCAAGATATAGAAGTAATTATTATTTATTAAAACCAAGCTTGTTATACAGCCATTAGGCACCAAGGTTAGTTACTATGTTCATTAGCCTACATCAGTGGTTCCCAATTAGTGGTACGCGTACCCCTGGGGGTACGCGAAATTGCGTGAAGGGGTACGCGCGGCAATCTAAAATCGGTCGATTTAAAATTTAAATGCATGAGATGAAGCAATCAAAAAAATAATGGG